CCCCCCCCCCCCCCCCCCCCCCCCCCCCCCCCAACCCCTCCCCGTCCTCAGCAGCACTGGTAGGAATTGTTTTGCTGTAGAAAAATCGACCAATGAACTGGACTCCGTCAGTACAACATTAATGTTGCTCTCTTTTCTCGGCTGGAGGATATAGACTTCTCAGTAAATCCGTTCTAAAACTGCGGAATTAGTCTAAATCTGGACTTGAGAGCGCGGGTCAGAGTTACGTAAATTATTCATACCAAACACTGAGGTAAGACAAATTAATTCTCAGCAGTGATCGTCCTGTTGGATGCTAATAATGAGTTGTGTGATGTGCATCATGCAGTGATTGTCAATCATATGAATTTTTCAGTAAAAGTATTGCTTATAGGAAAGTTTGACAGCCAGTTCATATTCGACTGACATCTCATCGGACGTATCTGATCCACATCGTGCGACGCTGTCAACAACACGAAAGAAGGTTGCACCACCACTGGTGCTTCCGGAGCTGAGCGATTCGGATATTGAGCATTCCATTTTCTTCGAGGTAGCAGTGTTTTGACAAACAGTAAACGTGTTGAAACTTCTTTCTGACATTTCACGTTGATAATTCAGGTAGCACTGCCGGAATTCAATGACGGAAAAAAAGCAGCGCGTGGCAGCCGCACTACGAGCAGACGCTCAAAAGTACTGTCGCTGTCTGAGCGGACCAGTCCATCGTCTGCTTCATCGCGGGACCATTCCGAAAATATGAGTATGAGTCGGTTTGCTCTGTAAAACTAGAAATATAAGGCAATTTTTTATGCAAAGATGGCCATCAGCAGCGAACAGCAGGAGAGCACAGGGCCTGTGACGGACCTTTGCTTCAGAGATTAATGAATGTTGCAGCATCAAGCCGCTCAAGTTTCTTCGAAATAATTGGACTAAAAAGGAAAAAAGAGAAATCTACAGAAGTCCGAAAAGAAGCTGTGGATGGAAAAGCAGTGTTAAAGAAGAGAAAACGAAAAATTAGCGAGAGTGACTCCGCTCCATCAAGTGAAAACAACATGCCAGGCGGTAATTCCATGTTTTCTTCATGCGCTGCATTTTTAGCGAAACTTTCGATAAGTAATCATAGTCGCTTTCATCGTCCCCTAAATTTTTATTCGCGATTTGTTCAGTTGTATGGAACCAGCACTTTCGAATGCTGCCATGGTTTTTTTTATTCATCCCTTCCAGTTTCTAGCTGATGAACAGCTCCTCTCTAGATTTTAACAACGACTTTTACCTACCGCTCTGACGAACTGCTTCCTGAAAAAGTATCACGTTAGAAAAAAAATTTTGTTCTTCAATACAGTTTTTCACCGCAGCATAGACTGTATGCAGAACTTCGTTTGTTTTAGCCGTACTTTCTATGCATTTTGTGCTGTACAACAGTTCCACAAAACGCACATTGTCGCGAGGCTGTCTGTGTGTATCCGATGCATCTTTCCCACAACTTTCAAGTCGGGAACCACGAAAGCTAGGAAGCTGAAAATTTAAGCAGATTTCCCCCGTCTACATGTGATCCCGCAAATTTAAGTTCAGCCTTCCTGTGGCCGTGGATAACACATACGGCCCCACGAAGGTTTTGAAGGGAGAAATTATTACCTCGGAAAAAATAAAAGCCAGGTAATGTCCTCTTTCCACATACAGTTCCGCAAGTTCAAATTTATTCTTCTTACGCGTTCAGGTGATACCTGTGGGGTATCGCGTTCAGGTGATAACTTTCACAGGGCCGTAAGTCACTTACGGCCCTGTGAAAGTTTCGACGGGGAAAATTATTATCTCGAAAACCATGAAAGAAGGGAATCTGAAATTTTAGGATGATGTCCTCTACCAACGTACGACCTCGCAATCTTGAATTCAGTCTTCACGCACCCCTGAGTACTACGTACGGCCCCGTGAAAGTTTTGGCAAGGAAATTGTTATCTCGTGAACTACAAAAGTTAGGGAGCTGAAATTTTACGGTAATGTCTCCTGCCCGAGTACGACCTTTCAAGTACGAATTCAGCCTTCATCTACGTCTGGGTACGTACGACTTTGTGAAAGTTTTGGCAGGAAAAATTATTACCTCGGAAACCAAGAAAGCTAGGAAGCTGAAATTTAGCGTAGCGTCTCCTGTCCACGTACGACTCCATAAATTTTTAACGTCCCCGTAAAAGTTTTGGCGGGAAAATCATTACCTCGGGAGCCAGAACAGGTAGAAGCTGAAAACTTCTAAAAGGATATTTCCTGCCCAGGCAGGGACTTCACAAACTCGAATTCATTTCTTAAGTATACTGAAATCTCGTGTAGGATTCATTCCCTCTGAGGTTTCAAATTCAACTTTTGCGTACCAGTGCGTAAAATTTTTAGTGGGGAATTCCAGCTGGCGTGCTTTCAAACGCCAATTGTCCTCAAGCTAAGGTTTAGTGCTTTTGAGGATACTCTCATAAGCTCGCATTGTGCTATGAACTAAACATGAAAACATGAAATTTGTAAACAGTTTAGCCTAGAAATTGAAAATTTGCCTGAAACTGTTTCTTAAATTAAAAGCCATAACATAGATTTGAAGGGCTTGGGAGGCCTCTGTCCAGTTTTTCCGTTTTCAGCTGCTCCTCTGCCACGCCTTACAGCACGCTCGTTAGCTAAGCCGTCAGCCAAGCTTTATCCAAATTTTTGCTCCTGTTTATAGTTATCGTCTCCTACGTTTCCGGTTAGCTTTAGTGGAACAGCAAAATGGTTGTTCGCATTGATTCGCCCTGTGATTCCATTAAAAATATCCGGAAAATGATTTGACTCAGCGCTTAAATACTGTAGCAACAGTGCAGAAGTTGACGCTGTATATTCAAGTGCATAGTGCTGGTATCAACATCATGGGCTTGATGAGTCCCATCTGCTGTTCCCTGTTTTAGCGGGATAACTATTGAATTTGTTCAGCGCTAGTGCAAAAGCACTTGATGCCGGCATTTGGTATTGCTTGAGCGACAGTTTTGATTCTTACATTTGTTCATTGAAGAGAAATAATTTTCTTGTGCGCGGTAGGAATACATATCTTTGTCTTCCTCGTTTTATTAATCGTTGTTGGTATTTGTTCAGACGCGCGCAGTCTTTCCTCAGTGACAAGCAAGGATAGCACAACAGCAGAAAATACACACTGCGACTCAAATGAAGTTGGCAAGCAATCTTGGCTCCAAGCTCCAAAACATTATTATAATCAGCGTCAACAGGTACGGAATTATTAATAAAACTTATCTTAATAAGACGTTGAGTATTTCACAGACTGCAACTTTTTTAGAAGAATGGCCTTAAGGAAGAGCTCGGAGCAAAAAAGTGCACCCGTACGAGGGATCCAACAAACCCTAGCGACGAAAGCAATGACGAACGAGCTGGCAATCGCTTTAATGCCTCGAACAATTACCCTTTTGAAAATGATGAATCAAGGTCGACAACACGAGCGCAGTATCGTTGCGCAGGCCAAAATTCCTCAGGTAGTCGTCACTTTTCTGCACATTTTGGTCTGCGATTTGTTAAAGCAAACCAGAGTCATCTTCATTCCGGAAGGTATGAAATACACTGCTTAACACACCTGCTCCCTCAAACGTGTTGCAGTTTTAACAGCGTATATGTTAAAGTCGAGCATCCAGAAGCAGAGGAAACAATTCGGGAATAATTTATTCAGAGGCCACTATCAAAACTCGGGTTGGCTCAGCCAGGTTGCGAGGCAAGTTACAGTGACTGGTGGGAAGGGTGGAACGGCATGGACGGAAGAGGGGAGTTAGGGGCCGAGGTGGTGATTCAGGTCTCGGAGGTCGTAATTGGGAGGAAGGGTGGGGAGGCGGGGCGGGGGGGAGGGGAGAAGGCGAAGGTACTGGCTGGGAAAGAACTGAGACTTTGATTGAAAGTAGACATTGAAGGCGGCAGGGAGGGGATTTGTGGGAGTGGGGGCGCGCTAAACCTGAGCATGAAATCTCTAGCTCATACAAAGACACAAAATCCCACAGAAACCTATGAGATTTCAGCTCCCTCTCGTGCCTGTTTTTCGAAATCATTTTCCCGCTAAAAAACTAACGTTTTTTTCGGGCTCCGTACATAACACTCAAGGATACGTGAGCGATAATTTTAAACTGTAGAGGTTGTTTACAGGATAGGCACACGCTCCAAAAGTTTCAGCGCTCTAGCTTCTCTGTTTCCCGAGTTGAAAGCAGGTGAAAAAATGCGAATACACAGACACACAAAGGCAACCTCTTGCCAATATACTTTTTATGCGTTTTTTGCAGCAATGCAATGCGAAAAACGGGCAATTACTAAAACTCGGCTCGGCTGGTGTCTTACACGATCAGCCAAAAATTTTTGTATGGAGGACGGGTAGTGTTGCCCGTTGAGCCCTATGCTACTGGTACGGTGAGGGCTATTACAGTGGGGGCATATAGCTGTGGGATAT